TTTAGAGATTTTCCATTCCGTCGAAAAAATGCCATTTGTTATACTTTTAATACAAATTTATTTATTTTGAGAGAGAGAGAGAGAGAGAGAGAGCTATGTTTAAGTAAAACCTGGAGTGTCCACAAGTGTTAGCCACTTCTCTCTCTCTCTCTCTCTCTCTCTCTCTCTCTCAAACAGAACTCAAGATATTGTATTAAATCTCCTGAAAAATATCTTAAACACGAGGAAAATATATAGTTTTTTATGAAGTGATTTAGAGAGAGAGAGAGAGAGAGAGAGAGAGAGAGAGTCTAATACCAAATAAACGGTAATCTCTACTACTTTTCACATATATTTTATTATGAGAGAGAGAGAGAGAGAGAGAGAGAGAGAGAGAGCAAGCAAAGAATTATCACTTTGATATGTCATACCAGTGCCAACATCACCAGCACCGACACCACTGGCCACTGGGGTATACCATTCGCACATACAGTACACACACCACAGGCTATAGATTTAATGGAAGGGGAGGTTCGGGAGGGGAGAGAGAAGGATGAATGGATGGTTGCATTCATTCACATCATATAAACAATAATTTTTGTGATCAGAAAAAAGGCTTTATTTGCGATAATATAGTGTACGAAGAATTACATAGATCATACTCCCCGCTGACCATCATCATTCGCGTCTCCCCCTCTATAATGTACACATACCGGTGCCCACCAAACATTATTTGGTCTATGTCAAAGACACTAGGTTTAACGATATATATTTTATATATACAGTACTCTCTCTCTAATGTAATTGTGTCCCAAAAACAATAGTAAACACTCGTTATAATAAATCCTATGTTTAAGAGCCAAGTCGTAAACCTAACGCTTTTTGATCCCAGTGTTACGTATTGTTCACTATAACGAGTGTTTATTATATGTACTGAATATATAGCGCCATGTCTTAAATAATGGTGTGTTTTAGGCGTTAATCTAATATACGGTGTACTGTAATTGACAGCACCGGTAGGTGGGAGACCAGATAGTCGATGATATCATCGCCTTAAAGGCTAACTGTCCTCTCTCTCTCTCTCTCTCTCTCTCTCTCTCTCGGAGTTTAGTCACCAGAAAAAAATCGTGAGAAACTGGATATATATCTATCGGTTTTATTACTTACCGTATAAGCAATGGTATCGACTATTTTTGTTGTGACTGTATTTTTGTGCAGGTCTTAGACTACAGGGACTGGTATGTGATGTGCGATCACATCATATCTCTGTCACACGAACTGACAGACCTCTCTCTCTCTCTCTCTCTCTCTCTCTCTCTCCCTCTCTCTCTCTCTCACACACACACACAATGTCTCGCATGTCTGCACACAAACACATGAATGCCTTAACACACAAAATACAGTACATTTATAATTGATTGCCCTCCGAGTGAAATACCATCGGTGTTTTAGTTCCCTCTCCCGATGCCTAATTTATTTTACCCATCTTCAATTTGATCTAAAATTGATTTTATTTGCCCTTATAATGAACTAGATATTTACACTACACACGTACACTATACACACCGGGAGCTGGTTTTGTTTACAGTGCATTAAACTATCATGTCACATGATTCATGTGTGATTTTGTGAGTATTTTATTTATTTCGAGAGAGAGAGAGACTATGCTAGATTTATGATGTTTGATTATAATGCTAAATAATTGTTTATTTGCCAATAATTAATTATGCTTAACTAAATAATTATTAAACATAAAACAACGTACAACTTGATAACCCATTGATAACAGTGTAGTGCACTTGAAAATATATGGGTTAATAGCCATCCCATACAACCAATGATATAACAATCTAATAGTTAAGCCGATTTGTTAAAGGGTTAGTGACATTGTACTTGTATACAAGTGCGATCGGGCGCCTACACGTATGGCAGATATTTTTATATAAAGTTTTACATTCATTAATATTCAACGATCTCTTAAATAATAATAATAATGATAACAACAAAAGTGTTATTTGTTTGAATCGATTGAGAATTTTTTGTATGCAATTTATTTTATATGACTTTATATGACAAGTTTTTTGATTATAATTTTTTAGGTCAATACACTTTCAAGTGCACAGTTGTATAGCCTAACAGAAAATCACCCTGATATACATTTTATATTATGCAACAGTATTTTATAAAGCATACAAATAAATGCATATTGTGTTTATATAACATAAATCAATCGTGTTGCATTTTCTTGTAATCAGGGTATTAGACAATAGTGCAATGAAAATGCAAAGTATTTATTGTGATTAAAATGATTGGGCACTAAATTTTGTTTGTGTGTTAAAAATACACACATGATTATTCTAGTGTATGATTGATTTTTATTGACGATGATTATTTATAATAGTTATATACGATTATCTATGATGGTTAAAATCGGGTCATATGTTCACCAACTGATTATATGTTATTTTTATGGGAATTGGCGTTCAATTATAACTCAATGAGAGTTTTATTCATTTTTATTGTTTTTGTTGTTTTCCGTTATTAATCTATGGGTTTATTTTTATCTAGAAATAAATAATTACTTTTTATTATATATCTTCAAGTTTTTTAAAACCCCCAATGGATTATCATTATAATTATGTAATATATTTTACTTTATTTAATACTCTTAGCCTATTATAAAACCAGTAGTTATTATTTATGATTTAATACTATGTTAGTTTTTAAAATTTATATAAGGTTAATCTATCGGTGTGTTTTCTGTTTGTGTATTTTATTTATTGCTTGTTTTGTTTGCTTACAATTAATGTGAAAATTATTAAATATTTATTGTTTAATCATTAAACAAACCGATATTTTTTAATTACATGTTTTATAAAAAGGTATACAATAATCACAAAATAGTGCATATAATAAATAAACCCAAATATATATAAAGATATCTTTACATATGCTTAAGATATTTGAGGTTAAGATCCAGAAAATCATGATTTTTCAGTGCAAACAAAATGTTTGATTGATTTTCAATATGTTTTATTTTTTGTGTGAACTTTTTCAATGATAAGCAATTTTGCAGATTTTTATCATCAGTTTTTTGGCAAATATATTACTTAATAGCGAGAAATATATTGAATTAATTACTGAATATTAAATATGCATTTATCTCTCTTTAGACAGGGATTTATATTTTGAAGCAAAACACAGCAAATATGTTATGTTTTATCACCAAAAATGTTATTCCCATTGAATTTTCAATTTTGTTTGAATACATTTGTTTTGTGCCAAACATTTATATATAAATATAACTTATGACTGAAAAACACATATGAAATTGTATTTGAAAATTGAATACAAAAAACAAAATTACAGCAATTTTTCACTAATAACACATCTGTTTCAGTCTCTCTCTCTCTCTCTCTCTCTCTTTCTTTCTTTCTCTCTCTCTCGTGTAACACATTTTACGTTCATTTCTCTCATTTATAAGTCGTTTTTATTTTGATGTGTGTTTTTCAGTAGCAAAACAGCACATGAATTATACGTGAGTTTTTCTCCAGAGAGAGAGAGAGAGAGAGAGAGAGAGAGAGAGAGCTAGCGATGAGAGTTTTACAATAGTTTATGAGAGTTTGAAAATTGCATTTAAATTTTTGGCAAACATTTTTTATATTCCCGATTCTGTCGGTAATGTTTCGCTCGTTTGACACAACGATGTCTTTAATATACCGGTGCTTTTGGGGAATGGGAGAGAGCTCTGGCATCTCATCCATACATTAGTCCTTTCAGAGCACTTAGAGAGAGAGAGAGAGAGAGAGAGAGAGAGTTAAGTCAACATCAATAAGAATATAACATTGAGACCAAACATTGAATATTATTATTGCATTTTGTTATGTATATACAGAATACATATACGTATGCATGTTATAGATGTATATAAGGGTCAATTATATTCCATACAAGCTGAATATTCTTGATTTTATTTTTGCATTTGACTCATTACAAGCCGTGATTTGAAATAATATTATTTTGGGATTTGAAAACCACATTTCATTTTAAATTTCTATCGATGACATCCAAAAATCAAATCAAATACAAAACGATTGTTTTTATTTCAATAGTATTATTACTATTATTTTGCTTTTTATTATTTACTTTTTTCACTCTATTCACAATTCAATTGCCAAAATGTGTTTTCCATTCAGTCAATATTTACCTCGGGTTTTCAATTTTAAAGCTTTGAGTTAGGTAATAAAATTTTTACTTTTTATGCACAGAATATTTACTATATTTACAATTCTAGCACTTTTAATCTTGATTATATTTTATAAGTGTGGGTTATAGTTACATTTATTACTATAAGTACTAATAAATAATTAAATATGTGTTAAATTAAATTAATAACATATAAATTATAAATTTAAATCACGTATTAATTATTTATTTATAAATTTTATTTGATATTTTTTGTATGTTATTTTTGTAAGATTATTTATAATTTTAGATATGTTTTATTTTTAACTATTTCCCATTTCAAATAGAGAGAGAGAGAGAGAGAGAGAGAGAGAGAGAGAGAGAGAAAAGAAAATATTTAATATGTTTTTAATGTTTGTAAGAATTTCAACTCAATTTGTCTCAAAAGGCTTACAGTATTTGTAATGAATTGAAATGTAAGTCGAAATAGCATTAGAGAGAGACTGAGAGACATGGATAGAGAAAGACAAGAAATACCCAAATGCTTTTCGTTCGTAACTCTATTAACATAACATTAAGCAATGATTTTTTGTTTAATATATAAATAAACTATAAACTAATGGATGTGTGTTTCGTATGCTTTGATTGCGAAACCAGTGTTTGATTTATGAATTTGATTTCTTAACTGTGTTTTGAAAACACTTTACAAAATAATTTATATTTATAAAAACATACAGTACTCACCCATTAAGCCATAACAATGCACATCTAGTTTGGTTTCTTATACACTGTATATTTACAGACAAAATATATCATTTATAGTGAATTACTTTATAATGTCTGGTAAACAAACTATTTTATATGAGAAATAAAATGAAATATTTATTATGATAAATAGTTGCATGTTTTTAATTTAGCAGAATTTATTATATTTTTAGTTTAATTATCATATAATAATTGTCTTCTTGTGCAATGACCGAGATGGTTTCATTTACTAGCGTGCTATTATGTAGGAAATTGTCCATGTTATATTAGAGAGAATATGCTTGATGTTTTTTTGCTATGGTTATTTATTTCCGCACGAAATCTATTATGTATTAGACATAAGTATTTACTCTTATGTTGGAAATTAAATGTCATTTTTTCTGTCGATCCATCAAAACGTCTAATAATATATATTATTATAATACATGTGTTTTGTATGTGTTGTGTATATAAGTAAAGGAAATTGTTTTTTGTTTATATTTTTAACAATAAATTTATAAATAAATTATTTATTTTTAATCGGAAATTTAGTATTTATTATATGGCATGGAATATTACGCTAAATGTTTATTAATTTTAATTTTAGCCATAAATTATTTAATTATTTATATGTATCAAGTCATTTTAATAGTTTATAAATATAATACATACTGTTCAAATTTAAATATTTTGACTATAATACTATTTAACTAATTACTTAAGCCAATTCCACACAAATACTATACAATACATATAGGATTGTAATTAAAATTTTATTCAATGGAAATCCCAAAAATGTTTATATAAATAATACATTAAAAGGTTTCCATAAAATATATGGCTTTCAAATATTTGATAAAATAAAATATTAAACTAGAATATAATAAATTGTAAATTCATGACTCGTTAGGTTTCCTGCCATCGATACTGGAGGGCTCGGTTCGGGGTAACTATGGGCTCATGGATCAGGTGGCGGCCCTACACTGGATCCAAGAGAATATACAAGAATTTTATGGCGATAATAATAACGTTACGATCATTGGTCACGGATATGGGGCCGCCTGTGCTCATTTACTCATGCTTTCGCCTATGGCCACCGGTCAGTACAAAAAACACTCAAATATATTTACTATCATCAATTATTTACAGTACTAGTACAATATCGATATTACCTTACTTAAAAATATTTAAATTTATTCACCAGGGTTATTTGCCAGAGTGGTGCTGATGAGCGGCTCGGCGCTTAGTCCGTGGGCCATAGCCCGCAACGCCGATATCTACTCAATTAAATTGGCCCAGGAGCTTAACTGTCCCATCTATGTAAGCCTACAAAAAAATCAATCATAATAAAATAACCATGATCATAAAAATCAATTCACAACACAGGACAACATAGTAATGGTGGACTGTATACGACACAAAACCGTTGAGGAGATACAGGCGGTGCCGTTGGAAGCGCCCCAATACCTGACCTCTTTCGGGCCTATCATCGACGGAATACTAGTGCCTTCGGAGCCCAAACACATACTGGAGACCGGGCTCTCCGACTTTAACTACCACTTTCAACACAACGTGTCTGGCCATGGGGTGGGCGCGTCGGGCGCTACCGCCGGCGCCGCCACAGCCCCGCAACCAGTGCCGGCCCCTCCGCCGCAACCGCCGCTCACACCACTGTTGTCCCAATCGGTGCACTACATCAACAACTATGACCTGCTGTTTGGCGTGACTCGAGTGGAGGCCCCGTATGTGTTCGGCGCCCACGAAGAGCGTCACGGCATCGATCCGTCCAAACGCGACCGCATTCTCCGTACACTCGTTAGGAATTTGTTTGACTTTCAGCAACAGGTAATTGCTTTTAAACAACCTATCATTGAAGTTATATATGCGTTAATTGTGACTCCACTTTGTATTATTGTTATTAATTTTAAATAATCATGATTATTATTATTATTGTTTAGTCAATATTTTTGACTCTAATGAATGAGTACACGGATTGGAACCGTCCGGTCGACCACCCGATCAACCTCTTGGACTCGACGGTCGATATACTGGGCGATGCGCTCCGCGTCTC